AAAAAAATTTTTTTTAGAACAGTCAGTGTGAGTAAATAAAAAGTATGAAGTTAGAAGTTCTAACTTAGAAAAAAATATTTTCATTACATATAGCCTGTCTTAAGTAGGACCAGTGTTTTTAAATGGTATGTTACCAGTCTTTATAACATATTAAATGGCTAAATATGTATGTAAAACACTGAACGACTGTGCTGTAACCACATTTAACGTTTTGAAAAAACACATTTTTTTATTAAAATTTAGAAAAAAAATTTCTATGTTTGATAAGAACTCTTTATCATGTGTTGCACACTTAAAACTATTGAACTATTGCATTTGAAAAGGGCACATGTCATGAGTAAATTACCTGTCGTTCCCTGAACTCAGTGTGCAGGTCTGGGTGTTTCCGCCCTTAGCCATGCATGTTTTAAAACATCGTTTACACAATGGCGCATCAACGTTAAATGCCTCTCCTTGCTCATTTGTTTTTATGCCGAAGTACTGCCATATAGCACTTCGCGCCCCTCGTTTGTCCACAAGTTGCGGGGTGGTGACTGTTACAGCCGCCATTCTCCTCTCCGTGCTCCTCTCTCTCTCTCTCTCTCTCCCTCTCCCTCTCCAACGTCTCTGCTCTCTCCAAGCTTTCCTCCTGCTCCGTTTGTTGCTCCAGTCCACGCTGCTCAGTGAGCAGAGGACGAGGAAGCTGTTTCCTGCTCTGTTTTCCTCTGTTGCGGGCGGGCGCTGCAAGTACCGGTCCCATCCAAATGCAGTATAGTACCGTTTTAAATTCCTCAGTACCGCGGTACCATACTAGTACCGGTATATCGTGCAACACTAGGTTGTACCATTTAGTTTATCCTAATTACTTTAATTCAGTCTTCATATTCTATTTATTTGGAGTTTATTCTACTTTTATTCTATTTTAGTTTCTTAAATGGTATGGGCATTCAACATTAGGAGAGAGAGAAACAGTATTTCGATTTCTCTGCACATATAGTGAATTGACAATAATAAAAAACCTTGATCTTGAACTATATTTTTAGGAAAATCAGATGCTCGGCACTGTGACTCAGATATAATGATAACACATGAGAGGCACAACTGGGCCTAATCACACCTGTACTGCAGTTAAAAGAAAAAAAAAACAATTAACTATTTAAAATGATGAATTGTGTGTATCAAAATGTAATGCTGCAGTAAGATACAGTCATACTAGAGTATTGAGGTGTCGACTGCATTTGGCACCATCTAGTGGACATTGTGTCAATGTGCTCCCTGAATGGGATGGTCAGCTGAGCAGACCATGTGATGAAAACTTCTCTTGTGTGTGTGTGTGTGTGTGTATGTATGTGTGTGTTGGGTGGGGGTGGGGGGGTCAAATGGTTCTCAACTCAAAATATAAAGCAGAAACTATATTATATAAATCTAACTCTCTGAAACAGCCTGGTTGATGTGTATAAGACGTTAGCAGGAATACATACTAAATAGACAGAGAATTTCAAAAACTATTCTTACAAAAAATGCAGAAATTCATACATGGACACAAACATCACTGTATGAGGACAAACGGTTAAGATGATCATGTGTGCGTGTACCTGAAATGGCCATCTGCTGGATCTTGAACTGGATGTTGATGGTGGGGTTCTCGTCGGGTTTGGAGGCGCCAGCCTGCAGGCTCATGGTGCCTTTCAGACTGGGAAGCTTCTGTGGGTTTATCTTACCAACATCCCATGTCAACAACTGGCCAAAAGAGGAAACATCAAGACAACGGTAAATAACTACTACTTGTGTAAAAGCCACACCTTATTTTACACAATGACAAAACAGCATGAAAGCTCCTAAGAGACATCCTTGTTTTCAGACACAACTGGTTGAGACCTGCAGCTTCATGTAACAAAAATGACCTCTAACCACAATTTTAAATAATCATGTTCATGTATACATCCAATCTTTCTTCTTTTAGGTGTATAAATACTCAGTTTCTAGGTACCTTTGTGACTGGGTCAAAGGTGTATGTTCCCTGGGAGGGGTTGAGGCTGGCATTGAGAACACCGCGAGGCAGCTGGCTGCTGACTAGGACCGACTCCACAGCCTTGCCCATGGTCTGTTTGGGTCCCAGGGTCAAATCAAAACGTCCCTGGGAGCTTCCCTCCCGGAAGGTGATGTTGTGCTTGACATACACTGGGATCGCCACCAGACTGAAGGAGGACAACACACCAAAGGATTCACAGTCAAACGAGCCATGTTTTGTGATTCCGTTGCTGTATTCTGATATTGGTATACTGCTTGATAGGAATGCCTTCAGACAGAACATATATGCAGCTATTTGATAAAAACCACATGCATAAAATGTCTTTGACACAATGTGACATAAACAGAGCCTGAATGAAAAACACTGACTTCTGAGAGCTGACGTGGTAAGAGAGCAACCGGAAGTTTCCATCAGGAGGGATAAATGAGAGGATCCGCTCAGCCTCCCAACGCTTGAATCGAACACAAGGGTGGAAGCTGACATCATCCAGCAGCCGAGGATTCTGGTAAAGGGAAGAAGAGGACCAGGAAGCTTTCATTTGTGTGTAAAATAAAATGTGAACATTTATATTGTAAAGACCACTTCATTGCCTTTGTATTTCCTTCTGTTTAAGCTATATTTACTTACTTTTACACAAAAGGCTTCAAAGTGCTGGAAAATAAGAAACTCACCATAAATGATAAAGTGAGGTCAGGCATGCCTGTCAGCTTTACACAGGCATCAATAACTCCCTGGATTTCTGCTGTAATAGTGGAGCCTGAGCAGGAGGTTGATGTGAGAAAATGACAAAAACAAAAACCAGATAAATTAACAGCAAAACTAAGTTTGAAAACAGGTACTAATTATTATTGAGAAAAAGTGTCAAAAGGTGACATGTTATACCATTGTTTAACAGTTTTTTGACCAATTTCTTGACACCTCTAACAATAATCAGAATGTATTGTTTCTCCCCAAAACAGAAATGGTAAATGCAAACTAGCAAATTAATATAATCAAATTACATTAGGCAATACACTAAATGTTATTGTGATAAAAATGTCCATATAACGTTAATTTATTTATATGCTGTCATATGCATTTATCCACTAAGTGATTTGTGGAACCTTAACAGAAATGTAGTCATAGCTAACAGAGTGGTCAAATGAGAAAAAGGTATAGTGAAGTGTTCTGTTCAAAACAATACCTGATTTATCAATGATAGCGTCGATCTCCTCCACCACATCAAAATAGGCTTCATTGTTGGTGTATTTGACCCCGGTGCGTCGCCATGGCACCACTGACAGCTGTCCTGTAGGGAGCTGCTCGCCCACATTGGTGCTGCCTGGAAGACAGACATGAACCAAATGTAAAATAACCACCACATTTACACAGGACCCAGAGATCAGCTGCTGTTAACATTGTGTGGCATAGCATAAACTGACAGTACTGATTCTGGACAGTGATATCTTTTATCATTATTATTTAATTACTTGGTTTGAGTGTAAGATGAAACACACCATTTTCTCACAGAATGAGAGAACTCATTTGCACACACAAAGCCAATGGGAGATTAAAATCTTTGCACGTACAAACCTGTGCAAGTTGTTTTAATAACTGTTCTATTTGTTCAGAAGCTCACATACACATGCATATTATATCCATTATATCTCACTATCAGGATTTGATTTAATATTCTAAATAGTCCTCTAAATAGTGGAGGTGTTTGATTAATTTTGAATTTCACAACTGTGATGAAAATATTGTGTTGTACCTGTAATGGTGTTGACCATTGTGCGGAGGATGGTGGGGGGCTTAATGAGCTCTTTGAGGATGTTGGACTCTGTGGCTAAGGGAAAGCCATTGTCCAGCATCTCCTCCAGTAGCTCATAGACCACTACCACATTGTCCTTGATGGCAGCCTCGGTACACACTCCAAAATAGTCCTGGGAACAACAAAATCAGGTTATGGGTATTTCAAGTTATGTACGAGTCACCTGCACTAAAATAAACATGGACTGAAAAATACACGAGCAAGAACCTGGAAGGTGTCGACAACTCGGTGCAGAAACTCGATAACAAAGAGCGGTGGCACCTCACTCTGGATTACTGCCACAAAGTAGATACGATGCCTGAGCACACTGATCAGGTAGTGGTGAGGCGTAGAGATCACAGGTGGGACGTTCTCCGGCTCGGTGGCCCGCTCTTGCGCCTCAAAGAAGTAGTCACACACTGAGCGGCTGACCACGCTTTTCCAGTGCTTCTCCAGGAAAATGTCCCCTGAGGCATTGACTAAGAAGAGGCTGTGGATCATTTTGGCTGTAGGCTAATGAGAAAAAGAGAAGACAAAAAACAAAGACTGAGTCTTTGAAAAGGACCTAAACTTAATAGATTTACCCTAATATGGTCTGTCTTTCATTAGGTATCAGGACAAATAAGTGATTCCATGCCCACTATTGAATGTCTTTCATTAGGTATCAGGACAAATAACAGTGATTCCATCCCCACTATTGAAAAGAAAGCCTTCCTCTGCTCACATGACATATTTCGAGGTGGATAAAAGACCACAAATTAGTCATACAAAGGGGGGGGTGGGTGCTCATAGAAGAATCCCTGTTTGGCTCAGCAAACACGCAGGACATGAGCGGACTCCAGAGGACAGTTAGGACTACAGAACGTATCATCAGGACCAACCTAGCCCTCCGTGGACGACCTGTATACCAGGTCAAGAGGAGGGCAGTGAAGATCTCTGCAAACCCTTTACACCCTGGTCATAAACAGTTAGAAGATACAGTGAGTGGTTAATACATCTTAGGCATGCTCATTAAGTGGACTATTGGCTCTTTCTATTTGATTGATTTATTATGTGGTATTATTCATATTTAAAGTTACTCTGATTGTATACTCTTTTATTTTTCTTGTTGACTACCTCGTGTGGCAGACAGTACTGCAGCATACTAAGGTAAATAAAAGCTGATTCTGATATGCTCACCACACAGCCTAGATAGGATGCAACCACAAAGCATTCTTTTTCACATTTCAGAACCATAAACAAAGTCCTAATTCCACATTAAATGGTAAATCTATAGCCGTTAAAAGGAACAATACAATTTAAATTCTAATATTTTTTTTATTGAGAAAAATAAATGAATGGCTCACGAAATCCAAAAATGGTTTATATTAAAAGTAGCAAGCTAAAACTGACAACTTTTAAATGAGTCTGGTGTACCTCTTTCTCCACACAAGGAGAATGATAACGGGGTTTTATTTTGATACGTTACATCACTATTTAGTCTTCTTTAGTTAACATATAAAAAGGAAATGTGACACCGGAATTTTCATTAAATATGCGCCAAAGCTATCGAGTTCGGTCTGTATGTAGCTGCTACAAGAACCCCAGTAAATAGCAACTACGAATAATTTTAAGGAATTAAAACCTTTCACCGATTAACTAGCGGTTATATAGCAGAGCAGTCATGAGTTGAAGGCCTCCGTCACACAAGATGCTACATCAGTCCCTGCTCCTGCCTCACAGTCTCATGACAGAGGAAAAGCCCCGTCACCCGATAAAGAAGATGAAAACGCGTTAAGATAATGATGTTCTGACTTAAAGCTTTGCTCCTGGAGACATTTATAAATTGCAACCGACATACCGAAGACAATCTTTTGCGTATTTCTCTCGCCTTTCACCCTTTTCCTAAGGAAGTAGTGTTAAGAGCCCGTCTTCGCTTCCCATAAGGTGTAGCAAATTCTGTTGCGCGAAGGCTACAACAGCACAGCGAACCAATTAGAAGCCAAAGAGACTATAAAGTCCCGCCCACCCAATAGAGTCATAGGCCAACAATACGGAAGCTGGTGACTCGTGACTTGGTTATGATTGGACCGTGGTGTGAAAACCACGGTAAACAGCAGCACAACTGTCCACTGATTGGCTTTACCATGTAGCTGGTCTGACATTTTGTTTCCAGTATCAGATTTCATCTTGTGGACTCCCTCTCCATTCAAAACAGATACAGGAGCATGCTCACTAGTAAGGAATACAGCATTATCAGCAAATCAGCAAATCTTTTCTTTTAGGAAAAGAGATTATATTTTGTTACAAAAAGGTGAATCAGTACAAGTAGAAATAAAAATGGCAAGCATTACAACTGGATCGCCATAAAGAGTCTGCTGATGTTTGAAAAAACAATGTTGGAGTCATTTATGTACAACAAAATTACATATAGTATACAAAGAATGTTTCTTGTTGACCACTTCAAATGGTGTCATTTAGACAACAAAGGCACATTACATAGATATAACATACACTGGGTTTATGTTCTAACATTTTTCCCATCTGAAAAAGAATTACAGTGTGTCAAATATAATTTACACACAAACCATCGTCCCCCTTCCCAAGAAGAACCCGGTCACCTGCCTGAATGACTACAGGCCAGTGGCACTCACTCCAATTATTATGAAGTGTTTTGAGAGAGTGGTGCTGGCCCGCATTCAGAGCAGTATACCGGACACCCCGGACCCCTACAGTATGCCTACCGACCCAACAGGGCCGCCTCAGATGCCATCACGGCTGCCCTCCACTATTCCTTTTCTCACCTGTAAAATGGAGACTACTACATCAGGATACTCTCCATTGACTACAGCTCTGCCTTCAACACAGTTGTCCCCCACAAACTCACCCACAAACTGTCCACACTGGGTCTGCACCCCACCCTCTGTGACTGGCTCGTCAGGATTGGCAATAGGACTTCAGCCAGCATTGTTACAAACACTGGCACCCCACAGGGATGTGTCCTCAGTCCTATCCTCTACACCCTGTTCACTCACAACTGTATCGCCTCCCACAAAGACAACATCATCCTAAAGTTCGCAGACGACACCGCAGTGATAGGTCGCATTCACTGGCAGGGACGAAGCAGCCAACAGGAGGGAGGTGGCCGGTCTGGTGTCATGGTGCAAGGACAATAATCTCAGCCTCAACACGGACACAAAGAAGGGGAAAAGAACTCATCAGCCACTGTTTATCCGGGGGCTCAAAGTGGAGAGGGTGAGCAGCTTTAAATGCCTGGGCGTCCACATCAGTGAGGACCTCACCTGGACACATAACACCACACAGCTTGTCAAGCAGGGCCAATGGCGGCTGTACTTCCTGAGGAGGTTTGGCATGTCACCTAGGATCCTCAGCAACTTCTACAGCTGCATCATTGAGAGCATCTTGACCAGCTGCATCACTGTCTGGTATGTCAGCACTACTGCTATGGGCCGCAAGCGCCTGCAGAGAGTGGTAAAGACTGTGTAGAAGATCACCAGGAGTCCACTGCCCTCTCTTCAGAGCATTTACCACCGCAGGGTGTGTAGGAAAGCTGCCTTCATCCTCAAGGACCCCACCCACCCCCAGCATTGACTGTTCATATTCCCAATCTCCAGCCGTAGGCTCATAAGTGTGAAATGCAGGACCTCTAGACTGAAAAACTCTTTCTTTCCGACTGCCATCAGACTCCTAAACAGCTGACTCAGGATCTACCTCATGTAATTCCACCTGTACTGTTTACATACTCATTTTGCACATGCATAATTGTACACCCACTGCTGAATATTTGCACTTCACAGCTCTCACGTAGAATATATTCTCTGCATTATATTGTGTTCTTGTATTTTTATTTGCTTCTTACTGCCTATTTAGATGTCTTATTGCTCACCTACTTTATATTTCACTTGTATTGTGTGGCATTCATGTGGATGGCAAAGTAAGAATTTCATTGTACAGGGAAACACATTTCCTAACTGTGCATATGACAAACACTTTGACCTTGAATAAGTGTGGGTGAGGACAACTGTGCTGGCATCAGTGACTTGAACAGATATCAAAGCTTTTATACTAAGAAGATGCAACAAATGTGCCTCCTCTGTGTTTAAAGATATTACAGTGAAAGAGAGTCACAGCCAAACAAAACTCAAGGACAATGTGGATAGTTTTGAAGATGAAAGAATTCATTTTCACATCGTCTTTTGAACATATGTTCATGTCCTACGGGGACATCTAGTGGTTACAAGTGGTTAAAGCAACTTCATAAGTGACCTAATGCCTTTCCCTATAGTACAAATCTTGAAGTGGACTGAACATAAGGCAACAAAAATGTAATTTTAGAACCAAATTAGAAGAAACAAAAATTCTCATGGGAAACCTGAATGGCTCAACATAATTTATTTTCATTTTATGTTAAAATGTACAGAGTTCTTTGAAAGTACTTGCTAAGAAAGAAAGAAAGAAAAAAAAACAAATAAAAGGAAATACATACAGGAACAGAGTAGAGCTGAGGCCACTGAGCGCAAATCGACCTTCACTGAGTGCCCAGCTTGCCCACTCCCCTCTTTCATTTGCGCCCTCTCTTAGCATACAACGCAACATGTACAATTACAAAGGATACAAAAAGGGAAGCGATATAAACAGACAGAAATATACTGAGCTTATTTTTACATGCCTCTTAAATGTCAGGAAGTCATTCTATACATAAAAATAAGAAAAAAAAAAAAAAAAAAAAAAAAAAAAAAAAAAAAAAAGAATGCCAAGTGACCTTTAGGTATTTGTAGTCCCTTTGTTTAAAATAGCATTAATATACTACACAAAGATAGAAAAACTCTAGAGATGAGATGGAATGGAGAGGTTAAAGGCGTCTTAAAGTCACTAAAAGTGAGTGGTAATTTTTTTAAATTTTGAATTTCTTAGTAATTATTACCCAAGAGGCGAGCTAAAAAATATGTAGTTTTTTGTTTCCTGAAACAGAATTGAAAAAAATGACAGTACCAATATCAATGTCAGAATTTACTTTTATATTATAGAAAAACATTTTCTCTACAATAGGTTCTCTAAAGTCAAAAAGAGTCAGCTTGTGTCATAAAAGAAAGCTGCCCAGTCTGATAAAATTCAGAAAGAAACTAAATGAATATAAAGTACAGAACAGAACAATACACACAAATAAAGTATGCAATGTCAGGTCTGTAGGAAAAATGAAAAACTCCTCTTTTGACTTTGAATACTGGTACATGGAGCAACAAGGTCAAACCGTTTCACCTCTGCCAGTTTCACGCCTTAACAAGCAGGACTTGGACACACTTGCTCATCTCCGACCCTGCATTTATGTGCGCCTCTATACGAGGACCAAACCATGCACTAGATCAGGCATTTAGGTGCACCTTCTATAAAGGCCAACTCTCTGCTGCCATATTTCTAGCCAATGAGAGTGCAGAACTTTGCAGAAAAAAAAAAACAACAACAACAACAACAGGTGAACAGAATACACCGTTCAAATGCAGACTCCTCGACCTCTTTGGGTCACAAACACTTAAGGAGGGGAGGTCAGCTATAGTAAACCGACTTTCCTTAAAGCAGTAAAATGGAAGTTCCGCTGTTTGTTCTGCATTCCTTAAACTGCTAAAAAAGGCTGACATTTTACACCGTCTGCCAGTGGAGTGTGGACAGCTGGATGTTGTACTGTCCTGAGCTAGCCACCAACTGGCGACAGCTAGCCTGTGTATATTTGCGTGTGTGTGTGTGTGTGTGCACTGGATCTTGGGAAGTACCTGAATATTTACATCTAAATATTTCAGAGAAGCGGAAAACTGTAAAATAATGCTACTTTGTTTCATTTATGGGCATAAAATGCGTTTGTCTCTTCTGTGTCTTGCTTGTGTTTTTGGTACAACACTGTCCATCTGGGAAGACAGAGACTCTGGAAACAGCTCGACACCAGGAAGCCCCGCTCCTACGCTTTTCTGGAACTGAGTGAAAAGCCGTCTGACCAAGTGGCCACAGAGATGTTCAGGTTTTTCTGAGAGAGAAAGAGGGTGTAACACCATTTCAGAATGCCACACATATAAAGACCAAAGCATATAGGAGGTCGGACTGCACACGATTATTTCAAAAAACAATAAACAAAAACAACAACAACAAAAATAAGATTCAATATTATGTTTAACAAAACAAAAAAGAGTTTGCCTACAATGTTTCATTGTCTCTTTTTCAAGGTAAGGCTTCCTATATCAATTAAAAGATTGTGTGCATGTTTGAATATATTCAGTTAATCAGTTTTTTCATTTGCAGTCTGACAAAGCAAGGTATTCCTGTATTGTCTTTCTCTGCATCTTCCTCATCATTCTGTCCTCCCCCACTCTCCTCCTGCACGTAATGAGGAGGAGGGGACTCCTGGGCCTGTGTGAAACCATGTAACAGAGGGCTGTGCAGACCTGGCTCAAAGCAGCACGGCTGAGGTCCATGTACACACACTTAGCCCGAATCCTACCAACTTGCTCCCATACACAGCCAGCTGGGAGGGGAGGGAAACGAGCCCAAATAAAAAGGGACAAAATGACAACAGATAAAAACAGGAAACCCAAAGACCCTCTCTGTCTCCATCACCTACACCCACTGGTGCCTACTGAGGCACCGGAGAGGGTGATCAGGAGTAATGGACATTTAGAGTACAGCGAGTATCAGCTCTGGCCCCATGTCTCCTTCCTCAGTTCTTGGACGCTCATCTGCTCATATAGGGTGACTGTTTTGGGACACCAGCATAGCTGTGATGGGAGGGGCCAGTGTACATCATGTTACCATGGTGATTGGGCTGCATAGGTTGCTGTGGGTAACCCTGCCCTCCCATCATGCCCATCTGCATCTGCATGGGGTACTGAGCTGGCTGATTCATGTAGGGGGGATTACCATGATAACCACTGTTCATCATGGGTTGGGGCATTCGGTAGCTAGCTGACATGGCATTGAGGGGTGCCATGTTCATGGAATTGTACGGTGCCGGTGTGGGCATGAGGTTTGGCATCATGCCGCGCTGCACAGCCAAAGTGCGCGGCGTGCCCTGCATGGCCACAGCCCCTGAGGTGCGGCCATAGAGCTGCTGCTGATGTGGGGCTGGGGCCAACTGCTGAGTGGCTTTGGACCGGATGGCAATATGGCCTTTGACTGTAGCCATCTGGCCCTGTAGCCTCTGGGTGTGTGGCGGGGGTCCCAGACCAATGTTGGTGGTGGGCATGTTGCACTGCAGTTGTAAAGAGCCCAGGTTCATGGAGCCAGAGCTAAGGTTAGGAGGTGGGGTCATAGTGGGCTGGCCCTGAGGGAGGGGAGTGTGGGGTGAAGGGGCCAGCCCAGGATTGGAGAGAGAAACGCTGGTGGCGTAGGAGGTGACAGAGGCTGAGTGAGAGTAGGATATGGCATGGGGGTCCATGATGGTGTTGGTGAGCTGCTGGAGTTTGGCCAGGCTGAATGTTGCTGAGGGCTGGGGGTAGCCCCCTGTGCCAAAGTCCTGACCCATGCGCTCATAGAGGGTGCGTCCCCCTCCCCCACCTCCACTCTCTGGGATCTCCATGATCATGGGCGTGGAGGCAAAGCCATTGCCCATGCTACACTGGGACAAGGCTTGCTGTTGTTGCTGAGGTGGTGGTGGTGCTGAGGGTGGAGGCTGAGGGTTGGGGGCTTGCTGCTGAGGAACCTTCTTTTGTGACTGCTGCTGCTGCTGGTTGGTGCTAGGAGGCCTTTCAATCACACCACAGCTCTGAGGAGACTTAATACCACAGCTGGGCGTGTTGGATGGCGGTGGAGGTGGTGGAGGCTGGGGCACAGCACTACCTACACCACTGGCACCTGGACCGTTGTTGGGCCCTGGCCCTGCCTGCTGAATGAGGCTACAGCTGCCCATCGCCAGCTGGGGTCCGCCAGCTCCTGTGGAGGATGTGAGGCTGGGGGCTGGCACAAAGGAGCAGCTGTTAGACTGGGCGGACGAGGACGGTGTAGCCGAGCTGGAAGAGGATGAGGCAGATGACGAGGAAGCTGTGGAAGATCCTGCAACTACAGCAGCAGCCATTCCCCCTCCGTTCCCGCTATTCCCTGTCCCATTGCCCCCTCCGCCCATGGTGGAGTCATAACTGCTGGGGTTGTCATAGTTCTCTGTGGTGCTCTCTATACTGCCCAGGTCACTGAAGCCACTGTCCACCACCTGCTGCGAGTGGTCTGAAACAGACGGCACATCCATCATTGGCGATGTCTCCATGTTCTGCTGGGATGGGGCAGATAGAGAACTGGGATGTTCTGGTGTGATCTGGGTGTACCCCCCTCCAGCACCGCCACCACTGCCTCCTGCTCCTGTGGGGCCAGGTGTCCCTCCCCTCTGTCCTGCTTGTGTTGTGTCGATGATGCCTGGGGGTAACCCTGGACTGTTTACTGAACGCACAGACTGACTGGCTAGGGCTGGCACTGGAGGATTAGGGACGGGGCTGCTGTGCTGGGAGGTCCCACACTCCTCCACTAAGGCCAGGGTCTCCTCCTCTGCCTCCCCTGTGTGGCTGTAACTTTGCAGGGTTCGGCAGGCGGCTAGGGTCTCCTCACAGTCCTGGTAAGCCCCGTGGTGTGGCTGCGGTTCAGTCTCTTCATCCTGGGCCTCCCCCTGGGTCAGGGACTGGACTGCCTGCATAGTCTCCAAGTCCAGCTCATTGGAATGGTGATGGGGGTGGTGTGGGTGATGGTGGCTCAGCTCCTCTTTGAAGTCAGGGTGCTGGTGAGGGTGGGAGTGTGGATGTGTGTGTGGGGGTTCCATCAACAGTGTGACGTCTTTGTCATCTGGGTGCAGAGGCTGGAGCTCCATGGGCTCAGAGGGAACAGACATGGCTGTAACTGTTTCTACTGCTGCTGCAGCAGCTGCAGACTCTTCCTGCTCCCTGCGCCGCCTCTCCTCCTGCTGTGGGTCGCCTGAGGATAGCCGACACTTGGACTCCTGCACTGCTTCCTCAGCCTCCTCCTCCTCCTCTTCTTCCTCCTCCTCCTGCTTGCTGACATAGTCCTGGGCTACACTGTTCTCCATGTCTAAAAAAGGCTCTCCACCTTGTGGTTCTTCTTTGACCGGAGGAGAGCCTACACGAGAGGAAGGCCCCTCTTCCTCATCCTCATCTTCATCTTCAGAGTCCTGACTTTTTCTCTTCTTGCTGCTGGTCTTGTCCTCTAAGTGTCCGTCACCTTCATCATCTGCATCATGGTCTTCACTGCGCCTGCTTCCTGAACTGGGCATGACTGCTGTTCGCCTGTTGATACTACCACCACCGCTGCCCATGCTGCCACATTCTTCCTCCTCCCTCTCGTCATCATCGTCATCTTCTTCCCTGTCACCCAGATCTGTATCATGAGGCCGAGGCTGTGGAGCCCGAGGCCCTGAGGTGGAAGAGGAGGAAGAAGGGGACAGCAGAGGACGGGATGGTGGACGGCTGGGTTTTTCTTCCTCCCAGGCTCTTTCAGTCTCCTCCTCCTCGTCCTCCTCCTCCTCCTCCTCCTCTTCCTCCTCGTCTGGCTCAGATGTGGCAGGTGGTTTGGGGGCAGGCTGTGGTGGCTGGCATAGGGTGCGGTTCTTGGGCGGTCTCCCTCGCCTTTTGGGTACCTTCTGCTCGACAGGCTTAGGGAGATAGTCATCTTCTTCATCAGAGTCCTTCTGTTTGTTGTCTCTGTTAGCATTGTTTCTGCAGACACGCTTGCTGTTTCGGTCATCTGTCTGGAGCAGCTGAGGATCTTTGTCCAGCTGCTGCTCCAACAACAACCTTTGCCTTTCCTGCTCCTGCCGCTCTGCCTCCTCCTGGGCCCGCTGCAAGTACCAGCTCCGGGGCTTGCGGCCAGGTTTCATCTTGATTTTGGGGGGTGGAGGATCCCCACTTTGGGCCTGACTGTCTGAAGCTGCTCGCTGGTCGGACCCACCACTGGGTGGTTTTCCAGGTCCCCGTTTCTTCCAGTGCAGTGGTTTGCGGCTCTTCCCCTTAGGCCAGCCTTTCTTCTTCTTGATTGGGACCTCAGAGTTGCCTCCTAGAGTCTCTGATGGAGTTGCTGACAGAGCAGCAACAGGCTTCAGCAGAGGTGTTAACTCTGAGAGAAGGTAAGAAGATAAAAGTGCATGAAATAAAGGTGCACACATTTCTCTGTATACATAACAATCATCAGTCATGCTCACCATCTTCTTCTGAATCTGTGAGGTTGGTGTGTCGGCTCCTTTTGGGTGCTGGGTCTGACAACCTCAGAGCAGAAGGGAGTGGGGGATGGCGGTGCAGTGGATGGCCCAGGGACATCTCCTCCTCCAGCCTGGGCATAGGCCTTTCAGAGTCTGAGTCTACAAAGGGCTCATCCAGCACCTCTGTGGTTTCAGAAATGGTCTCTGTCACCACGCTGCTGTGAGGGTGGCTGCGCTGGCGAAAGCGACGTTTCCTCAGGGGCTTCTAGGTAGAAACAGGATGAAGAAATAGGTGCACCTTAAAAATTAAGCCTAAAAATGTCAACTACACACTTGGAGCACCTGGACTGACAGAGGACAACAACAGCATGTAGATTTCACGGCAACATGGACATAAATCCATTTACAAAATACCTAAATTTGAGCACGGTTTCTAACCTTGCATTTGAGTCCCATGGCAGGCTTGGTGAGGATGGGTGGGGAGCATGCCCTCCTCTCATCATCATCGTCGTCGTCATCCTCTTCCTCACTGCTTTCACTGAAGCAGCTCTTTGTTACAGACAGAGACTCATTCAATCTAGAAATCACAGGCAGTTGTACCAGTCCCTCTCCAGGTTCCATCAGTCTGGGCTTAGGGCCTCTCTTTTTCCTTGGGGGCCGGCCTCTTCGTGTGGGGGTTATGGAGGGGTGCCTGGCCATGTCCAGTGAGTGAAAGACTGTAGACTCTGCTTGTCTGTCCAGGGAGAAAAGGGAGGGGGGGCTGTTGGCAGAGCCTGTGGTTTTTCCTCCCTCTGTTCCCTCCTCATCTTCATCATCCTCATCCTCCACATGGCGGATCTTAGGTGGCCGTCCCACCCGTGATCTGTCCTTTACCTTGCCCCAGGGCCAGTTTTTGGGTGGTCGCCCCCGTGGCCTGCGCTCTCCATTTGTTGGGGGTGGCGGTCGTGGTGCTTGTGGGACAGGAGGTGGACAGCGAACAGGAGCAAAAGCTGGAGAGCTCTGGGCAATGGGAAACCCCAGGAAGCCTCTTCTTTCGTCTTCCTCCTCCTCCTCCTCCTCCTCCTCATCCCTTCGCTTCCCTTGGCGCATGTGCCAGGACATTGGTGGCACCTTGTGAATCTGTTTGATCTATTTAAAAGATAAAGTAAAATCAAGTCAATAATCTAACACTAAGAACGTAAATGAACTTTAACTATGAACTATTATCACCACTTAAAGCAAATACAGATCTAATGTAATTACCTCCTTGGGGCTGTCGTCCTCTGGTTCTTCATCATCCTCGTCATCATCTCCATCTGCATCAGAGACCACGGCATTGGTTACAATGACAGGAGTCCAGCGGAGACACTCTGGGTCGACTTCCAGCTGCCGCGGCCGGGCCTTGAGACGAGCCATGTGGCTAGCCACCAGCTTCTCCTTTCGCACCAGGACCAGCCTAACAAAAGCACAACACCAAGAAACAAGAGCATTACAACTCTGTACGCACGTTTTCTACATGTGCAGATAACCTGAATGAATATTGCTGTGTACGTCCGTATACATGCATGTGGGCATCCACACCTATGTGGGAATGTTAGCTGGCAAAGTCTATGTGAAGTGCTGTGTGCATATGCAAACAATTACTCATAGATATGTAGATCACTTGTAGATAACTATGTATATGCACGTTGAAAGGACTACAGATATGACTGTGTACCTGCATTAGAAGGGTTGTCAATATAGGTTTTATACCAGCTTCATACTTTGCCACTATTTTTAATGCTATAACTGACTTTTCTGTGTGTTTTTCTATTGTGTCACAACAACCCTGTTTCATAGGTCAGTACTGTCATAGAGCGCCAGTACATTTTACACAATGAAACTAATTACACTACTAATCCTTCTGTTGCTGAAATATCAGGAAGTGTCATTAGGTTACATGTCACTATTACCAGCAGTGTACTACAATGGGCTACAGAAAGATTTTTTTTTTGCTATTTAGACTGGGATTCAGAAAAAATCAGCATTTAACTATAATTAAGAATTTTATTTAGAACGTGTAAAGGGTGTCTTTGTTTACATGTTTACCTGGCTACTGGCCATGATCAGTTTTGTCTGGGTTAAACTTTAACCCTCAGCTTGCGACTAAGTACAGTCTGGCAACCAGATCTTGTTTACGTCACAGTGTACCTGTAACCGGAACTTCCAGCTACAGGGGACTAGGCCGGTCCTGTCTCTGACCTGTCTCCTCGCTGTTCCAGCATGTTGAGGCTGTGCAGAGTGGTGGTGATGTCCTGGGGGCAGATTCCTGTCAGTTTGCTAAGCTGTCGTATGGTGATCTGTCGATCACAGACCTCATGGAGACATTCCAGTACCACACTGCGCCAATAGGCCATGTAAGACAGCCGACCTAGGTCCGACAGTGGCTTCTCTGGAGATCCTGGCTGGCCCTCGCGCTTGGACAATAAGTAGCCTGCAGGGAGGGATAAAACAGCCAAGGACACACATGGCACATACATATTACAAATGTACCACAGCATCTTTTCTTTTTATTGTTTGTCTATGAAAGGGACGAAGCATCAACAGATACTTTATTTCCCAGTTAGTGGCATTGTCACTGTTTTGTTTAAAGCTGAAGCCCTTACTGAAGTCGATGAGAAAGCGCCCATAGCCCTTGCGTTGGTACTGTGGAAGAATCATGATGCATGATACGTTGTATTTCTGTTGACAGTGCTTTTCCTGGAGAAGATGAAAAGACAGACACAATCCATTGTTAATAAAAATAAAAAAAAAAACATCACAGAGAAGGCCTGTGTAACGGTACAGCAGGGTGCCAAAGGTACTGTGTTTGCTCATTAACTGCTTTGCTATCTGTTTTGGCAGGAAGGTGGAATGTTAATGGGAGCACCTGCAAAGACAAACTCCAGAGGGGCAACGGAGCTCAGTGCTCCCAGTGTTTATCTGGGACACAACATTAGCATTTGTACACTTGTAGGAATGCACCTGTGAGCGGTAATGACAATGCATTTTAAATTCATTTGATTTGAATACATTTACACCTATTTTGGCTCAAGCAGTTGCTTTGGTAAGTTTGTGCAGAGTGATTACAACTTCCAGAGCTACTGGTGCTTTTCCCATCAGCACAGGTCAGCCCTGCTGAGCCGAGTGCGGCAGAGCAGTGCTGAGTTGTTCCCGAGTCAGTGTGCTTGTGTTTCCATTGTACCATAAAATCCATTATCTTCCACATCTTGATCACATGGGGGCAGTCCATGTCGCTGGGAAGCATCACATTACTCATAGCCTCAGTGTGGTGTTAATATCCTGCAACATGGAGGGAGCCCTTGGTGCTAGGCATTATTTTAGCCCCTCATCAGAATGGGAAGTCAGAGATTCCCATTTTCAAGTGTTGCTGCAATGAAATAACAGCTAAAAAGTCAACACTAACTGTTTAAGGACTTCCCTTCAGTGCAACATTTCAGCCAATCATGTGTCTTGATGAGCCCGCTCTGTTGAAGGCAGAACTTTAGCCCTGGGCAGAAGCAGGACCAGCTAAGCCCGAGTCGGCACAACTGCCCCCTGCTGCTAGGAAATGGAGGCCAACCTGTGTCTGCCTGGCTTGGCTCAATAAAAGTTGGCTGACCCATGATGATGGAAAACACCATATGTATTCCTTGAAATACAGCACAGGAATGAGGCTAGGAGCATCACAACCATACCTTGGAGAAGTAGCCAACGAGGTGGCAACCTTTGCTGTCATTCTGGGTCAGGACATAAAAGAGGAAAGGCTCAACATCATAGTACAGGGTCTTGTGGTCCAGAAACAGCTTGGCCAGGAGACACAGGTTCTGACAGTAGATTGTGCTGACGTTCCCATCAACCTGTTCCGAAATTATTGGGGGAAAAAAAAAATCCATCAGCAAACAGTGATAGTTTCCTAAATGACAACTACTCAGTCCCAGAAACAGCGTAGAAGTGAGGATGGAGTGCAGAGCTTAGAAATGAATCGGGAGCTGCAGCGGCCATGGTCTGCAGGCAGCAATCCACTGAATTTATCTGCTACTATGCTACAAGACCCAGAGGAACAGCTTAACTGTAAATAGGTAATTATGAATCCTTCTAGTAATAACCGTGACTTTCCCTGATAAAATAATATTTCAATATGACAGGCTGGGAGGTCAGTGAATCATCATTAGGAATCTGGCTGATCAACATGAAGATGGAGGGAAAGTATTGGTGCACAGTGCATGTAATTCATCTCTGACTGTGCTGATACTCCCGGTCTCAAAAAGCAATTAGCAGCTTTTGGTAAATGTACAACTGTGTGTAGTTAAAGATGACTACCAAGGCTACAGTTAGAACTCTAGGTGCTGTTAGGAGGTAAAAAGATGTGGCTGTAGCTGCACAGTGTGTCTGCAGGTGCAACAGAGGCCTGTCTCTCTGTCACTGTCATCCACCACTTGCTCACATTACTTTACCTTTCTGCTAATGTTTCAGTTGATTAACTATCCACATCTTTCTGAACAACTCCTCACCTCAAATACAGAGACGTCGTCTTTCCTGTAGATCTCGTTGGCAGGGGGGTGGAACCAGTTGCACTTCTTCATGTGCTGGTAGAGGATGCTGCGACTCTTCATGTAGCGTAGGCAGAACTCACACAGGTAGAGCTTGGGTAGTCTGGAAAGGAAAAAGGAAAAGGCAAGAGAGGAATGGTTGTAAAAAAGTCAAGGACGGGACTGAAATCAACGGTCAATAACTGACTAACCAAACATTTTTCAGCAACTGCTCTGACATGTGATTCTTTAGCAGTGTCAGCAAAAATACAAAACTTACTCTAGTCCTATTAATATATGAATATTTGCTGGTTTGCTGGTCTGTTTTTCAAAAAACTGATATTTTACAGAAAATGATTTGATTAATTCAGAAAATAATTGTCATAATAATCAATAATGGAAAATAACTTAATTACAACCCTTTTCACAGCTTGCTTTAAAAGATGCAAATAACTGCAATACCTGAGACTTATTTGGAACTGAAGCTCTGAAGGGGTCAGTAACCTTTTATTTTATGTTAATATTCTATTTTTTTTATCAGTTAGCAATTAATCTAATGAAAGCAGATTTGGTCAGAATAGATTAGACAAGAATAGATTTTATTCAAGAGCTTCACACATGAAAATCCAAACACACACTGAGCAATTCACAATGTAATTGCATCCCTGGCTCTGGCTGGTTACCCGCCAAAGTGGGTGGTGGTGTAAACAACCTGATAATTGAGCACCATTACACCCAGTGGCATTTTCTACGCCTACGAGCAGGACTGTGAGCTAAGTACATTATAGTCTAGTGTTTCATTATGCTGTGTTAGCTTACCTGCTGTATTCCTGGGGGTAAGGAGATGAATACCATGTCTGGATTTCAAATTTGCCAAGTTCGATGACTGACGGACAGCGCATTTGAGGATCCGGTGGACCTGTCACCCCAACTTTCTGTTTGAATGCGCACAGAAAAGGAAGGAAGAAGGGGTGAGAGTGGTGGGTGGTGGTGGTGTGGAGTGTGTGTGTGTTGGAGGGGGGTATCAAGTCCAGGTTTACTACAGGAGGGATTAGTAAACCATAGTGCAGGGAGACAGATTATAAACTAGTGATTACTGTTTTAGGATCTTACACTCCAGTGTACTTTATTCACCTTGTTTTCAAACTGCCATACAATCACTGTTTGTTTTTTGTATTTACTTGTCATTTAAAATCAAACCTTTGATCCTCACTGAACCCTACACTCATCACCTTTCACAACCCTATGAGCCCTGCATCTCTGGTAATGGATGCGTAATCTGGCATCTGTTCTATGGCAAAATAATTTCTTTCAAGTTGATATACAATAGGCTCCGACAGATCATTGATTTTTCCACCCACAAAACGTGCCTCCATTCCACAGACCTCGTCTGAGCCAGTGGCACCATCCAGCCTGGCTACTGCTGACTCGGGTCTTTCTGACCACAGCCTCATCACCACTAAAGTTCATCTCCCCTTCTGTTTGTATGCCATGGGTTTACATCATATCACGTCCAATGACTTCAGCTCCTCCTTTCCCACTGTCCCATATCTGTTCATTCACCAGATTTTAAAGACATTTAAAATGTTATCTTTCCGTGTACCTGTAGCGCCAACTCCTGGATGTGTCTGAACAGTTCAATGTCTTTTTCCATCAGGCTCTCATGGCCAGGCAGTTTGTCATCATCATCACGCCAGTCACTGCCTTCCTGATTGTCTATGGATTGAAACACAGAGGTGACATTAATGCAAATCTAGTGAGAAGTTTGCTAGACAGGGTGCCAAGATGTCTGCTGATTGATTTTTACAATAGTGCTGCTGCCACAGAAAAAAGATGACAATGAGAACTTAAGCGCAGAGGATTTTATTTCCTAAAGTTTGAGGAAATTTTGAGGATTTACCCCAAAGCATGGAGTGAAAGACCAGCATGCAGCTGAACACTTCCTTTGTCACACACAAGACATGAAATGCACAGAGAAAGTATATATATATGTGTGTGGGTGTGTGTGTGTGTGTGTGTGTATCTACACACACACACACGGCCTACTGGACCACAAACATATAATATTCTGCAATAACAGCAGCTTCATTTCCACAGAGTGAAATCACGCCATAGCAGTGAGGAGCTGTGTGTATAAGCATAAAAACACAGATCACCCTTACCCCCCCTGTCATCTCCTTCTTTCCGACTGGCTTTCTTTCGAATGCGGCACTGCTGTGAGTAGTCCACCACTTCCTGTCGTGCCTTACGGCCTTCAGGCGAAGGTGTGAAGAACTTTGTGAGGGCATCAATGAGGCCTTTGGTCTTGTTGTTCAAGCGCAGGCTGCTCTGCGACATATCGTCATCATCCCGCATCGAAAAAAGCAGCCGGTCGTCACCAGGATAACCCTCGAAAGAGGAGCTGGAGGATGAGTTGGCTGAGGTCGAGCGCTTCCGCCGACCACGCCCAACTAGCTTTTTGAAGGGCCGGCCTGGCCTGCGGAGGAGGTGAGAAGTTAGGTCAGGTGTTTGTCAGGAGGTGACAGAGTTGGGTTGGTCCACAGACTTGCCTGTGGGGCCACATGTTTGTCTACTTGACAAAGAATGAAGCCTACACCATGTGTGCATACTGTAGATACACACTGATAAATTAGGCAGAGAAGAGAAATGGCAATGACAGAATAAACAAATCACTAAGTTCATTCTGGGGTGTTGGTGTTGTAGATGTTAGCTTGTCTACACACTGATGAGGCAGATAACTGGCATATTGATTAGACTCTCCATGAGCTGAAACAAGTTCTTTACCTGTTCTTGGGCCGCCCCAGTGGTGCGTTGTAGCGCCGTTTGATTTGTGCTGCTTTTTCATGTAAAAGTTTCTTTCCTTTTTTCCTGGGTTGGCAGATTTGACAAATCCACATGCCTGGGACAGAAAGAGAAACATACACTGAGGTGGATTAGATGAGACAGGCTTCAGTGCAGATACCAAATGCCCTGGGGGTATTTAAATACATTAGCATTTAATGTGAAGCATTAGGTGCTTCATTAGTGTTTGCGCCAACAACTCAGGAGATGGTTTAATCATTTAGTGTGACTCTAATGATCAGAGAGAGTAGTAATGCATGAGCTTTGTGTACCTTTTCAGAGGTAGAACAGACACCAACTGAATTCACTGAGGGCTCTAAATACTTAATGAAGTGGTGGGTAATCAGTTAAAGGAGAAGGTCTGTTTATTTACCTTTCGGCATCCGCGTGAGTGGAGGGTCACAACACTCCATGTGGAAGCCACGGTCACAGGAGTCACAGAACAACATGTTGTCCTGTACAGTATAAACACACAGAAATAGTGATGATTTAGATGACTTTCAAACAAGGTGAGTTTCACTGACCCTGTTTCACAGAGAAACAGTGTCAATCATAAATATACAGGATGGCTAGAACAATATATTGGGCTAGAACTGTAGCTTTATTTATAGAGGGCTGATCAAATTAATTAATAAAATATTTTACTGAGCTTACCACATATTTATGCACAAAAATCCATTAATAGTTTTGTTACCATGAATTTGCCATTTGAAGTTGAACCATATTTTTAAAATATCCACCACAAATGTTTTAAGCAACTTCTTAGTTTCTTTTTTTTATTGTCCATTCTCACAGATGCTTTTAATTCGCTGTGCTGTTGGCATTATTTTATGCCTTCTGCCTCACCACTAAATGTGCCTCAAAACATTTAAATAACAATGAATCCTCAGCTGACAGCTCAGGGAAAAGAGTGAGATCGCGCTGAAACTGACTAAAATAGCTCAGTCCAAGGATGACAGATATGTCTATCAGCATCTTTACCTGGCACTTAAGCTGAGAGGAGATTGTTCACAGACACTGTTCTGCTGCCAGTCGGCTGCAGTTGCTCATCCACTCACCGCATTCTTTCCTTGATCCTGACAGCTGCTGCAAGTCTTGCATTCGATGCACTGCCACCACAGAGCCTTGACTCGTGCTGTGAGCTCCGGGGAGAACTTGAGACAAGACGGGTGGCCTGCAGGTAGACAGACACACATACACAAACAAGTGCATCAATCTCACAGACGTTTGTTGTTGCTGCTGACTGACAGCTGTGACCCACTTGCATCATTATGGGGGGGGGGTCCTTTTGGAATTGAGAGCCCTCACTGAATCAAACCTGACTGCAGAGAGTGTTCAAACATAAATGACAATCTGTCAGAGCTGTGCTTCTGCTCTGTTTGAAGAGCAGCAAACATTAATGCCTTGTCTAGGACAGATACCCACTGGGGAAAGAAAAAGACAATTTGTCCTACTATAAAAGTAATCAGAAGGTGCCAGGTACATTTTCACATTTAAGTGTCCTAGCAGCTAAACAATTGCAGTTTTGATCATTTCACTCATTTAAAATACCAGTTGTGAAATAAGTTAAAATGGCAGTTAAAACCAGCATGCTTGCAATCTTTTTACAGCTACTGGATGCTTAGCATTGTGCCTGCATTTGGTTTTCAAGTGCAAAAGCCCTTTTGCTAAAAAAAAATATTAGACGCCTACACAAACTACAGGATACCTGCATTTCTTTTAAGCAGTCTAAACTTTGCAGAAAGCTGAATGGAACCCACTGTGGTTGTTTCTATCACAAAACATACAAAAATTTAACCAAGACTGAAGTGGTGCTAATTCATATCTTACTAACCACAAATTAACACTCACCACTATTGCCACAGTCGGCACAGGAGATGAGCTCTTCTGGCTTTTTATCGCGATTCTGCTCCTTGGTCCCCAAACAGAAGCTGCAGATGGGGATGGGCTCGGCCACAGGCTGGCAGAGGAACAGAGCAGAAGGGAAAGGGGCACAGCAGAGAGGGGAGAGAAAGTCAATTTAACAGCTTCATTGTACAAATGGGACACAACAAAGTGGCCTTGTGAATCCTGTCAAAGAGAATGACTGTTGCCATGTGCATTAACAAGCTAACAGCAAACTGAAAACTACAATGACACTATACAGCATGAGGATGTGTGAACAGACAGTTTAAGATAATGAAGAGCATGAGAGCTACTGTGATGAGTGAGCTAGTATAATTTATGTGGCATGTCATGTTAGAGGCTGCCATCATGTGTCAGTGACCCTGCTGCTTAATCACACACACACACACACACGTTAGCTCCGTTCCTTTGGCTGCACTGGCTAAGGAGTTTGCAATGTGTCCCATTCTGACACCTGCTCTAAAACACGCCATCAGACATTCACTGCTGGGCCGGCGTAAATCTTTTAGTGTCCCTGCATACACAGACTATGTCAGCAAGTGTGTGCTCAAAGGGAATGCAAACACTGATATGCACACAAGCAACAAAGCTAAGCCAGGATTGTGTCCAGAAAAACAAAAGGCAGGATAATATTTAACATGCTGTTAAGACATCAAATAGGACTTGTGTGTCCAATATAGCTGAGAAATCTCATCCCTGAAGCACTGCAGGTGCACGTTACACAGGAACTAACAGAACAACAAGAGAGGAGCGGCCGTGCAGTCCAGAGAGAAAGTGCTGGCTTACTGCTACAACAAACTATACCACAAGTTGCTTTCATGTCAGCAACAGATTCTGTAGGGAGGGACCTAACAGCTATGAGGAAGTCAAACTTTCTTTCCTGTCACAGTGTTTGACTATAAATATCTTTATACTTTGAAAATGACATTTACAACCCATGTAAACGCACTGTGTAAAAATAAACGTAGGTAGCATTAAAAGCCTGGAAAACCTGTGTTGTATTTTTTTCAATTCTGTAATAGTGCTCTACAGTGAATTAAGGTACTAATAAAAGTTCTTTTGACCTTTTAACTTTTAATTATTTAACACTGAGAATGAGTGGGTGTATTCAAGCTTTGTTTCACAGTGATCACTTGAAAAAGCAAAACCAAATTTCTACACTTTGAGGCAAGCACAAATTTAAAAGCTTAGTTCAGCCACTTATATCATCACTAAGTCACACAGTGAACTGAATAAAGGTTGTGTGCGTGTAAATCAAGTTGATACTTGAAAAGCATATTCAAACACTTCTGAGGCCCTAAATATTCTAATGTAGAGTATGTTCGTCCAAAAAATAAATAAATAAATAAATAAAAATAAACTATGTCTCATCCTGCTTCGAGCAAGCTGTCCTCAAAAAGCATATCTGAGTGAGACAAGCACAAGTGATGGACAGTGTGAGGAGCTACAGGACACCATGGCTGAGATGGGAGATGGAATATGCTGTGCAATCAACATATGTTGCCCGACTGCTTCCACATTCTCAGCTTTTTGGCAGAGCTGCAAAGAGAAAGTCGCTGTAGAAGACAACTCATGACATCTGGGCTGATGTTCACCAGCAAGCAAGTGGGAGAAAGAGAAGAGGAAGAAGCTTCTGTGATCTGACACACCAAAGCAGAGGTTTTTGGCCATCATACTAAATCCCGTTATGTATCCATCACACATATTTTTCTGCTGCATGCCACTCAAGTCAAGCTGCAGAAAAATCTGCAACACATGACATACCCAAACATAAAGACTAAACTTTAAAACAACAATGACCTCAATAAATGCCTGAAAGCACCACGTTCATCTGTACATACAATATTATGCAGGTGCAACCACCATGGGACAACGCAGCCATCATACCACTCAGGAAGGAGACACGCTCCGTCTCCTAGAGATAAACAATACAAATCAGTCTGAACCAAGACAACAGCAGAGGACCATTTGAAGATACTGGAGGAAACAGGCAGCAAAGTATTTGTATCCATAGTAAAACAAGTCCTATATCAACATAACCTGAATGGATGCTCAGCAAGGAAGAAGCCACTGCTCCCAGACTGCCATAAAAAAAAAAGGCTGACTACAGTTTGCAGCTGCACATGGAGACAGAGATCTTACTTTCTGGAGAAATGTTCTCTGGTCTGAAAGAATTTTACTGGGAATGTGATGGAAGAAATAAAAGCTGAAATAAATCTTTTTCTCAACTATTTTTCTGACATTTCACATTCTTAAATTAAAGTAGTGATCCTAACTGACATAAGGAACAGGGAATGTTTATATGTTTTATGTCAGGAGTTGTGAAAAACTCAGTTTAAATGTATTTGGCTGAGGTGGATGTAAACCTCTGACTGAAAATGAGGATAACAAAAGTAAAGATGACTGCCTCCCCATCTCACATTAGACACACAGACAGAGTCTCATTTTACTGTGACATCAACAAAATCAACAGTAGCATAAGCATAAAAAAACTACTTATTAATCAAACACCAGCTGAACAAGCAACAAACTTGCATTTCAACATTTAAATTGCTGACTGTGATATAGGGGGAGCTAGAGCCAATCCGAGCTGACATTGGGTGAGAGGAACAGCCTGGACAGGTCACCAGTCTATCACAGGCCTGACATGTAGACAAACAACCACACACACTCACTGCTACGGGCAATTTAGAGCCGCCACTCAACCTAAGCTGCATGTCTTTAGACTGCGGGAGGAATCTGGAGAGAACTCACGCAGGCACAGGGAGGACATGCAAACTTTGCACAGATAGGTCCTGGGTTGGCCCTGGCTTGAACCCGGAACCTTCTTGCTGTAAGGTGACAGCGCCAACCACTGCACCACCACAATGAACACACTATATTAATCTGTACATTTAGATCATTGTGTAAACTGAAAATGATGAAAAACTCCCGGGGAGGCTTTCAAAAAAAAAAAACAAAACAAAAAAAAAAACAAGGTCATGATATGCACAAATTCTTTATTCAAGTGGGGTGAAGTGGGGTGAAACAACAACAACAACAACAACAACAACATGACATTTACTGAAGCTGGTGTTACAAGGTTTTCTGCAGGACAACAGTGCAAACGCACATAGCTGCAGAGAGCTGGGCAGGCAGCAGGTCCTGGCAGGGAGGAGACAGGGACAAACGCTTGATTTATTGGGTTCATTTCCTTCTGACACAGACTGCTTCGAACACCCCCCTGGTCGCACTTACCCACTCACCTACCTAACACAGCACAGGGACAAAGAGAGAAAGACAAGCAAAAGGTATGGAGTGAGGGAGGAAAGAGGTAAACAGGGAGAGAAGGGTTATAAAGAATGAGTGGTAAAGAGAAAAGCAGGTAAGCAGAGACATGCAGGGTGCAGAGAGGACGACCCATCCTTACCAGCTTTCTATTTCTGAAACCATTTTACATTTCATTAATAATCTCCACATGATCTGAATGCATGATGAAAATAATTAAATTTGCCTGGAAAACAAACCAATAAAGTCAGCGATGGAAACAGAAGTCAGCAACAACAAAAAAGAAGAGGAGAGTGTGAAAAACAGAGAGCGAGGACAAAACTCAGAATCCAGAGGGTAGGAGAGCAAAGGAAGTGTGAAGAAAGAGAAAGTCTGCAGCAGCAGTCCTCTGAGCTGCGTGTGTGCACCCAACACCTCAATCATTCCTGACGCTTAACCCCTTTACCGCTGGAGCAGGTCAACTGCTGCCACTCGCCTTGTAAAAGCTTGAGTAAACATGAGCTGAGAGAGAGTGCCGCCTCTCATACACAGACACCTTGTATAAAGACGCGTGATACAGTGAGGCTTCAGTTACTGGCTGATACTGTAAATTAATCCCCAACAGACACTAAAAAATGAAAAGCTAATCCTCCCGCCATGTCAGAGATATTGGAACATTGAAACACAATCCTCAGATTCCTCCTGAGAGCTGTTATCCCTCCCTGCTCCAGCCTTTTCTACCTCAGCCAGCTCTGGCTGCCAGGACTGCTCTTCCACTAGAGTCGTGCTCGAGAAATTTCTCATATCGACTGGTTGTTTAAGTGTCCTGGCTGACATTTGACTTGAGATGTGTGTGTGGATGTGTGCATGTCTATTTTAAGCCTGCATGTTCATGTTTTTGGTATGTGCTCTTCTCTATGCCAACATAAAGAGGATTCAGGAACAAACTGTTGCTCAGAAGTAAAACGACACGCCTCAAGCAACTGTTAGCATCCTACTGCTAGCTCGACTGGCTGGACTTGAAATGCCACCTTAAGTCCATGCAAACATGTCCTACAACTTACAGGATCCCTATAAATGCACACCTACACAAAAACAGACGAGTGAAGGCACCTTAGTTTGACCTAGGTGACACGCCCACACATGCTTTTTGGATCACAGCATTGTCAAACACTATATAACCTGTAGCAATGTGCTCCTGTGTGTGCGCCTAGTTCTCTGTTTTGTTTTTTTAACAGTTGAAATTAACACTTGAGGCAACACATAGTATGAGACCTTATACAGGTGGATAACAGGCTACAGAAAACAACTTCTGCAACCCCAGTTTCCCCTTTACATAATGACTTCTGTTATCCAAAGGCAGAGGACAAGAGTGAGACAGGAAGGAGAGAACAATGGAGGAAGGACACAGAGAAGCATAAATAGAGGAGGAGGGGAGAGGGGATAAAAGGCAATGGAAGAAAAGAGAATGAGGAAAAGGTACTGCTGTTGTCCTTGTCTCATCTCAAGTCAAGGATCTCATTAACATGGAACCCAATCTCAGCAAGACCACCACCACCATTCCTCCCTTATGCCCCCCCCACCCCGAACACAAACTCACTCATCACAGTTACAGGACATGCCGTGCAAGCAGAGACGAGGCACACACATTCATGCACAATTGTTCCAAACGTCATTAGAGCCAGCAGTCAAGAGACATTCCTTGACATGCCACCGTTACATTTTCATAAACATGCAGTGATGTTCAGTTGACATCAGCTGACAGGAGAGTATACACGTGACATTCCAAATGTGAAAAACCTGGAGCCGAACTAGGCTGGAAATGACTTAAAATTGATTTGTCTAAAATTTTTTGTGATGTCCACAAGAGCCAGAGGAAGACACTGCATTGTGCCAACGTTCCCTCCCTTCAGCCAGGTATCACCCTCCATTAAAATGGAGGTTATCCATGGGGCACAAAGCTAAATCACTGTATTCAATAGAGCGGGGCTGGCCGGGCCCCAGCCGTCACTTCCACAGCTGCTCAACACATTGGCTCTATTTGTGGAATGGTAAGGTTAGCCATACACAAGGTTCCACATAGCGATGCTTTCTGTGCCAAATGCCATTCATATCACAGTCACTGGTGAGTTCCAATAAAATTTCTACCTATCAACTAGTCATTGCAGCTCTACTACATTTTAAATGACAACATTTTCTCTGCTTTAGTCTATCGCTAAATGTCAAACAAGAACTGGGCCTGAGGAAGCAGCGCACCATGAGGATAAAGCAGGTGCCATCAAAGGGTGGAGTCAGTCTTAACTTTAGGCACTAATAATCGGTCAGTTGAGGTCAGGGCGCTAGCAAAACGAAAATAAAGGATGCCTGCCAAGGAAATGGTTGACAAAAACAAAGAATTTCTATGATCTTCCCCTTTTCCTTGATCAGTACAAAATCAGAAATTCAAGAAAATTTGACAAATGAGTCATTTCATGGCACCGGATTTGGTCATTTTCCCAGAATTCTTCTGGGGTAGCACCATAACCCCCAAGAATGTTTCCATCCATCCGGCAAGCACGCTCTAAGTACACAAGATGAAGAAGCACAACGGGGGATAGGAGGGAGATAGAGAAAGGGGTAGAGAAAAAGACAAAGAAGCACATTGCACCTGAGGCATTAAACTGATCATGTGTGAGGACATTTTGTATTCACGACCCTCTGAGTGATGATGCCTGATGTCTTCACCTTGAGCAAACACAGGCAGAGGTAATGCGTCTGACGTTAGAAAGACAGGTGGGGGTCGATCCAATACAAGCAAAGTGGAATGAATTGCAGCAAATAAGAATCTCCATTACGACTCATAATGAGTGACGCCTAATGTAGCAGCTCTACAGCCACTACTAGCAATGGACCCATTGGCTGCTAATTTCAGCTGAGCCTGTTAAGGGGTCAGTGGGACATTTTGGAGGGAAATCACCACAGCACGGTGTCTGAGTAGAGAATATGTGAATGCTGCTGAAGTCCCTATTTTCACACGTCCTCGCCATGACACTGCACAATGACATGAAGAACTCTGGTTCACCCTGCTCCAGCTGTTGAGGAAAGGGCAACCACGGGGCAGGGAGATTGCTCTTGCTTATTATGATGGGATGAACATCACTCTCACACACACACACACACACACACACACACACACACACACACCAACTATATACCCACACCAATATACACACAAAGGCTCAGCATCAAGCCTGCCCCACCTAATGGCCATAGCCTCATGTTGCTAACGGGAGCTCAGGAAGGCAATGAGGTTTGCCATCTATATATCCATGACCCCTGGTTGACTTCGCTCCCCCATTCTCCTCCCCCTTCATGACCTGGCAATGGCACCCTATTATGGTGAGAAGGGAGAGACTGAAAGACAGAAATAGGGCCTGGGATCCTGTTTGAATGGCACACTCTGACACAAACATCAGCACATTGAGTACACAAATCTCCCTGCAAATGGGGTCAAAGCCAGTGCTTAGCCATTTGTTTTGATCCACCACCCCCCCCCCCCTTCTGCATTCACTCACGCAATATGCAAATGATGCACCACCGAAAGAAAACTGGAGGAATGGAGAGCGATCACAACACAACATCTGTATCACTTTCCTCCATGTCCACAGTTTTTATCTTTTTGACCCATATGCCACTCACACAAGCAGAGGCACACATATATCAAGAACATGCTAACAGTCATGGGCGCAAGCAAATGGCTGAGCAGCAATTAAGTTGCATCCTCTGGAGAAAGACAACATATCAAGGCAACATCACAAGAAGAAGCAGAGAAGAGTGAACAGGCTTGTGAAAATGTCAGAGTCACACGTCAACTTCAACACTGCTGCAGTAGCTACTCCATGACGCCGCTCTATGAACCTTCACGTGTTGGCAGACAGCGTTTTGCAGGCTACATTTATAACCACCGCTCTATGCATCTCCACATGTGCCAGGAAAAAAAAACTAACTGCAAACGCTCTCTGTCCGCATGAGCCCAGACGCACAGAGCAGCATTCATAAACGCAGACTGCTGTTTTCATCAGCATTCATAAAACACCATGCAGCAATATTAAAATAGGTATAAAACAGAACGGTGGGAAAAAACAAGCAAATTATGACCCATTTGGCTTTCAGTTGATCTCTGCTCGTCTGTGTTTAAAGCTTATTAGACACCAAAACACAGCGTGGTGGTCTGTAATATTCATAAATAGGATTTTACATCTCTTGGAAAGTTATCACACTGTCATGAACTGTTCATCTTTAATCGTGATCATCTTGAAGTAAACAGCAGAAACAGTAGTTCACGTCACAAAGTAAACCACCAAGAATGGGTGTTTACATGTATGTGCTGTGCTGCAGAAAATGCTGAACCAGATCCAACTTTTTTTTTGGTCATGCGCGCTGCATCGTTTTGGACAACACCCCACCCACCCCCAGAGATAAGGTCTGTCTGAACATTGCCTTAGGAAGTGGACCACCTGCAACCAAGCAGGTCAATGTGTTAGGCAGGCCCCATGGTGACTCTAGCTTGTACTCTAGCCTACATGTGTACACATGTATGGTTGTCCTTAACAGGAGCTTCGGTGGCTGCACAGACATGTACACATACACACCCACACAGAGGCCCGATAAAGCCCAGAGCCAGTCAAAAAAAATGTTTAGGACAAGTCTAACATCCTAATGGCTCTTTGATAGGCTGGCTGACATAGGACTGGATGATGCACCACTTGGCTACTAGAAAGTAGTGTGTGGCTCTACCAGGTTTAATATGATGGTTGTGAGAGTGTATGCCTGCATGTATGTAGGCATCTGAAGTAGACGATTTACGTGTGTGGCCTTACGTAAGAATGCATTCAGTTTGTATTTGTCTGTTTTCTTTCTGTGCATGCCTTATAAATGTGTTTGTGTGTGTGTGTGTGTGTGCAAATCCCTGGCCCTTACAAGCAGAGGTTAGCAGCCGGCTGCTCTCTCTGATCAGGTTACAGAAGTGGGTGTGTTCCCTCTCTCCTCTGTCGCCTGCATGTCTGCCTCTCCCTCTCTCATTCTGTGTCTCTTACTCTTTTCTCACTCTAAGCCTCTACCTCTCTCGCCCTTTCTGCTTACGGAGGGCTGAAGCTTGCATCATCCAGGCCTCTACCTTTGGCACCACTACACATCATCTCTCTCTTTGCCTGTCTGTATTCCTCCACTTGCTTTTCTTTCTTTCTGTCTCCTGACAGCTCCTGACACGGAGCAGCCCTGCAGCTGGTCTGCACTCCCTGCAGGAGGCTGGGAGACATGCGACTCTCTCCCTTGACCTCCGCCGCCGCCTCCTCCTCCTCCACTGCTGCCAAAAACTGGACCACCAGCCACCCACCCCGCATCACTCTAGTGTCGTTCACCTAGACTGCTGTATGCATACACACACACACATTTGGGGTTCTGCTACTCGAACATGCACAAAGAAACGAAACACAACACTGACCAGTTGGGTCCAGTAAGGTCTTTTTAACATGTTTTCTGACTGGATATCGCTGGTCTCCCAAACACACAGCAATAGCATCTCAAACACAATGATATACACTCCAGTTTGTATAAAAATGCACTGTGGTATCTGCCTGTTCTTACAACTGTTGCCCAGCCCTCCTCAGTCACTTCTAAAATAACTCTATAATATGCTAACTGTAGTAAACCACTCCACCATATGCTGGATGAAAACTCACAACTGACATTCACACAAAGATTCTATTATGCTGTAGTAAATTACAGCCCTGTAGCTCATGAACAATTTGAACAAGCAGAGAAACGCACTGGCAATGTTTCATGTATTACCAGTTGTTTAATCTGGACAATTATGAATGTGCAGCAGCTATTTTTAAGTAGAATGTGCACTGTGTGGATTTCAAAAAGACCCAGCAAGTTTGTTTCCTGTTATTTTCACAGACCACACTCATTCTCTTGCTGTTGTTCCAAAAAGTTTTAACTGAAGAGCACATCAGACTTCTTGATTTCTTGTCACAGTTGCTTCAACCAAAGCTGTTGTTTCAACAGGATATCCGTGATCTTATCAGACATCTGATGTCATTTTTTTTATGTCTTATGTATATATGTTAAACCTTTTTCTATCAAAAGCAACATCCAAAATGGTAAATGACATGCCAATGATAAATGTAATCACATTTACTATTTAATGTATTATTACAATGTGTGTAAATGTAAGGTGCAAGCACAGAGTTTTACATGTTTATTTGTGGTGCACATATGTCATATCATTACCTTGTCTTTCTCATGAGGGAGCAAGCGCACAGGTGGTAGTGATTCTAGAGACACTGTCCCGGTCCCATCATCCTGGGAGCAGTTGCGACTGACAAGCTCAAACAGCGGACCCTGCTTGGCCACACGCCCATGGGCCACTGCCCTCTTCAGGGCCACCCTCAACTGCTGGTGGAAGAGGCCAGGGCCCATTGAGCCGCTGCCTGACAAGAACGCCGCCACATCAGCCTGGCATTTGAGAAAGCACTCAATGTTCTTTAAGCTTGATCCACCGCTCTCATGGAGCCCCTCCAATGCCCGCTTGATCAGCTTGTTCCAGTCAAGTCCCGTTTTTTTCCCCGAATGGGAGTGAGAGCTAGTGCCACCACTGCTACTGCCAGCTCCCCCTGCGTCTGCTCCAGAGCTGCCACCACTTTTGGGTTTGGGCAGAGCCAAGCGCCCAGGGTTATCAGGGTCCTTGTAAGAGTTGAGACCTTTGTTAGTGACCTTAAGAATGGTACCATCCTTGACACTGAGCTCTAGCTGCTCCAGAACTGTTTTGCGGTCTAGGCCATGGGACATGGAGACAGCATTGCAAATGCGCTCCTCTGATGGTCGCTGCTTCTGTTTCTTCACCTTCTTGATTGCCTCTAGGATCCATTGGGTGTACATTGGGTTTGCCAGTTTCACCATGGTTGCGGTCTGGGTGGGTGCAGGGGCAATGCCTGCAGAAAAAAACAGGGACTGTAGCCAACACCTGGCCTGCGCCGTAGCGCCGCCACCTCCTCCTTTTTCTCTTTGCCCTCTGCCTGCTTACTATCCCTTGTCCTGGGGTCGCACAGAGAGTCTCACAGAAGCCAAGTATGAGCAGCACGGTAGGGAGCAGCTGACCATAGCATAAACCCCAAGTCAACCCGCAACCTGGTAAAATATTGTCCACCCACCACCCACTCCCAGCCAGGCAAAGGTCCCTGGTGAGAAGCAGGGGGAGTGGGGGAAGTAGCAGGTCTATTAGCAACTTAAACTCCCACAGCACCCAAGGTATGGTAGAGTAGATCTTGACAACCGGGGCTTTCAGAAAAATATGGTGTTGTCCACTTTGCCTATCGCATTAGCAAACAGCCGATTATCAGTGTGAACTGTAAAAGATGATCACGGTCTCCAGGACATTAAACTAGTCTTTCAATGATAAAGATGAGGGCAATACAGTAAGTATGTTTTCTGAGGACTATAGGATTCCACCAGATGAGACTTTTCCTCTGCATCCACGTTCTCTCGTTCTCTCTCACTCTTCCAGCAGTCTGGGCTTCTCAGCTCTGGGACAGAACAGACATCTCACTCCAGGGAGCAGCCAGAGCTGATCACCTTCATGCCTATTGCACTTCAATAGCTGACAAACCCTGCAGAAAAAAAGACAACAACACAGAAAAAGATGTCAGCAAAAACTTGCTGAAAAGCAAAGCAACTTTTGATTAAATAAGTAAAACACAGAAATAAAGCTTTAAAGGATGACGAGTTTGTATGAGATGTAGAGAACCTGTGACAGGCATACTATATACTACCTTTACACAGATATGTAAACAATACCATGCTTTTCCCTAAAATCACCATGAGGTTTAGCCATACACTAACAAAACAAGGTATTAGATAAAAGAGCGATCACTGCTGAAACACATTAATGACTTGCTGATCATTTTTAATACAGCCATGGTGTTCTCTTATTCCATGGATATCACGTCTGAAAAACCTCTGCCAGTGTGACACAAATATTGTCAACAAACAGGTAAGCCCATAACAACTAGCTTGGTAACATTGTATACATTGGGTTTGCCAGTTTCACCATGGCACAGGCATGTCATATAATGATGCCAGAAGAATAAAAAGGTAGATATCATCCTGAAAACTGCACTAGCAACACTAGCAAGATGACTATTTAGGCTAGTTATGTTGCTAACGTAAACACGATGCAGTCAAAACAGACTGTTAGCAAGCATTAGCTGAGAGACTAGCTAAAAAAATATAAATCAAAGGCAAGGTAACTGTCGCACTGCCCAGCTGTGTTCGCTGCCTGCGCCGTTTACATTCAGGGGAAACAGTGCTGTTTACAGGCGCCAATATTAGTTATTTTAGGTAGCTAAGTATCTGACAACAAGCCTTCCCGCTAACTGCTGTTGTTTAGCAAGCTAACGTTAGAAGCTAGCTAAGAGCTAACGTTATGACTATGTTACTAACGACACTTGCTAACCCGAAACGTAAACAGCATGAAACGAGACGTTAGCCAGCACCCCTGCACAAAAACACATTTCCCGTTCAAGCGACAGTACAAACCACCACACAACAATAAACATGGCAAATAATCTCATTTTGAATGTCATTCAGTGTTAACATGATCGCGGCCTTGTAAAATGCACAATGCAACTTGCAGACGGCCATCTCAGCTAGCGGACAAGTGCAAAAATTAAGATATTATAGCCGCGAATTCTGCAGTATTACATGTTCTGCGGCCTTCTGCTCAGTCTTCGAATGTGGGTGAGGAGCTTCTGCCCGATTAGACACGTCCCTAGAAGGGGTCCTCACCTCGCTGACTTTCTCACTCAACCAACCGTCCTCCCACGTAACGTTACAGCCTGCGGTGCAGCGAAGACAAGGCCGCTAGAGCGCAGTAGCTAGGCCTTGGCTCCCCCCTCCGTACCCCCCACCCACCTCCGCGATCATCATCATCCCTCCGTGCCCCTCTCTCCCTCTACCTCTCGCGGTTCCCCAGAAAGCCCGAGCTGGTCCGGTTCTGATTTCCGAGACTGGCTCGGGTAAAGCGGACCATGTAAAAAAAATCTCATATCCCCCCATCCGGTTTCCACTGTTACTCACCGGAATTTCGTGTCGAGCTGCCGAGGAGAACGTGCCAAAACGGTGCGAAACGGAGACAACAACAAGCCTAAAAATGCAGCCTGAGACCAGGGGCTCTAGAGCCGACGCCATCTTTGAGTGAAACAGGAGCGCGGCTGGTGGGGGAGGGGGGAACACTGAACCGTCAGGCAGGGCTCAGGGACCGTCTACATGGTGCGAGGCGAAGATCCAGGGGAAGAAAAATTCACTGCAAGGCGCGGGGGGTGGCGGCAGCGTGCTGTTGCTATGAGAGGGGTGTGGATTTTGCTTGAGCACATGAAATGGAAGAAAGGGACAGATGGTGGTGGTGTTGGAGGAAGAAAAAAATAAAAAGAGAGGGTAGGTGTTCTCGCATTCTCTGCTGTACTACAGCTACACAGGGAGAGATTCAAGGGAGCGTCTGCATTTTGCCCATCAGTTGTAAAAGGAAGGGAAAAAAATCAAAGCCAACGAGTGTGCCTTAACGTTAGAGGGTATTTAAAGATCAAAGCGAGACACCCCTCCACACTGCAGTCTATTGTAGCAGCTGTGTGTTTTTAAAGATGATAATGGGAAGTGAGCCACATAGAGCCTCTCCTCAGAGATGTTGCAGGGTGTATCTATCTGGAGTATTACAGTACATAATAAAGCGTGTTACAATTTGTCTATGCAGAGTAGTCTACTGATGCATTGCTCTTCAGACTGTGAAAGAGAGTATTATCTTTCCACCAAAGATGATTATGTAAACTGTCTGCAACTGATCCACTGTGTTACATCTTATTAAATGACAGCTGAGTCTAACACCGTTTCCTATAATTTATGTTTGAAGAAAGGAGGTGTTTTTACAGTTCTCAGTGCAACATAAATTACAGCATCTGGTGACAGATGGAAGCAACATAATGTAAAGGTAGGTTATCACTCTCAGTGCATTTGAATCTGCAGTGTGCTCATTTGCACAGAGTATGTGCAAGTTAAACACAATTTTAGTCCTAATATGTTGTAGAAAATAAAAAAAACTGCATCATTATTCTTGGATCAGAACAGACACTACTACTGTCTGTAGTAGTAGTGTATTTCAGACACTGTTGTCTTGTAATTGCCCTGTGAAAATTTGAGCAACTTAAGAACAGCCTTCTTCTTATTCACAAGTAAAACAATCAGAGGAACGCTGATTTTGCTGCATCAGTTTCATGATCATAGCAATACAGAGGCACTTGTGTTGGAAATCTTTTCTATTACAGGCTAATGCTGAAGGCTCTCTGGGTGGAAATTAAATTATCTGCAGCTTTGTGTAAAATGATGTGTACACCAGTCCTCAGAGAGGGATTATAGCATGTCTTATAGGGAGCAATTAGACCTAAGGTTTTCCCATGTTAGAGGTGTCTTGAGTGCACTGCTGTCAGCACAGTGATGATCAGATAAAACCGGCAAGGTTTACTCACTGGTTATCTAGCATTTCTTCAGGTACAGCTAAATCACATTCCAGTGACAGGGCACTAACTAATTAATGATAGTGTTATTACACAGATAAATTGTACAAAGTATTGACACAGAGTAGCTATTAGTATGCCTCCTGAGGACTCACATATTATACTGGTGTATATAGCAGGCCAGCTAACAGATGGACAATACTCAGGAGAAGCTTGCACCATATCTGTTGTTATCAGCCATGAATAAATAATGTTGTGTACCATGATCCACAACAAAGGCCATGTTCACCAATACACAATAAAAGAAACAAACTACCTGGGGTAGAGAGTCATTTCAGTGTAATTTTGATAAGATCATGCTGATTTTCAGTCAGATAAATTGATGCAGAGGCACAACTTGAAAAGTTTTAACTTGTGCTGTATATTCCAAATGAGTGCTGTCAGCTTCTCCATTAAGTGGAGGGATGAGATCATAGATGCAGAAGAGGGTAAATTCACCTCATCATAAAATTACACAAGTCTTTAGAGGAGTTAACTCACCTGTATAAGATAAATGGCCATGAGTAAACTATTACAGCATGCCTAATTGCGAACAGTGCAAAAGTCATATATAAAACTATTATGATATATGATAAATAAAGAAAACTTACCAGAGCAAAAACAATTAGTGATTAAATGATAAGTTGACTTACAGAAAATGGGAAACAATTCTGGTAAGTTAATTGTTCAAAGGAACAGTGTGAAATTTTAAGAAATATTCCTACTGGCTTTAGAGACAGTTACATGAAAATATCAAATGCACTTTCATGTCTGGTACATATAAAGCTACAGTCAGTAGCTGCTTAGCTTAGCTTCAAACAGAAATCCACCTAGCAGCACATGTAAAGCCTCTTAATTAAAATGATAAGTCTTATTTGTATATAGGTACAGGAGCAGGGACCTCCTGAGGTGTTGTTATCACTGTAAGGTTGCCAGGCAGTAGATCTGACAAAGTCGTACTCTCAGCTAAGATATTAGTCCATAACCCCCCTGTAATTCCACACAGTGTCAGTTTTACACTTTGGTTTTTGTATGAGAAGAAAGATATAAGAAAGATATAGCATGTTAATTAGTGAACTTTATATATGCATATCTACACATTCTGACAAATATTTTCCCTATTTTTGACATTTTGACAAACTAAGCTATTGATTGATTGATTAATAATTCAATGATCAGTTATTTGATAATGAAAATAACAAATAATCACATCCAAAAACATTTATTCATGCTTACAATGTAACATTTTCAGGACTAGTAGACCTTTTGACTAATCATTGCTGTGCTCTATAAAGGAAAATCGTACTGCATATTAATTCTTATTTTTTGGTTTCCCAAATGCAAACAGTTTCAGATCATATGCATGATTGGAAAAGCAAACAATTAGCAGTGGGTAAAAAAAATTACCCCCAACTGTTAATCGATATTTTTATATGAGACCCATGGATTGTAGTCTGCCTTTGGTGGAAAATACAAGCAATCCTTAGTATTCTTTCATCCCCTTAATCCCTCTATTTAAAATTTCTGTTCTCTGTGCATCCACCTGCTAGGGGCCCTGAGCCCACAGCAAGCCAGACCAATGCCCACCTGCCCCCCTGCTACCCTCCCCTCTCTGAGACAGACACACACATAAACACACACACTCCGTCCACCTGATGCAGAGCAGCAGCATCTCCTGCTCCCCAGCCCTGCTGGCTCTTGCTCTGTTCCACTTCTTCCTGCCTATGATTTAAAAACTGGACCTCTGCCAAGTCAAATAAACCTACAGCTTCCCTTTCAGTTACTGTGTTTGTTTTGCTGCTGTTTTTTTTTTTTTCACTAGATTTTTAATTGTAAGTTGGCCAATTGCTGCACAACCTATAAATAAGTTTTGCAGTTGTTTTTGTCCTAAATCCTTTTGTGGTAACGTGTCAGGTCCCCTGCTGTGAAATGTACCTAAAATGGGATCTGTTTGATTGCCTATCATGGTTCAGTAAATGAGGCTATTTACATAGTCCAGGTGTTTTTAGAAATTTTCCAAGTTAGCAAGATTGCTAATTGAGTCTTGACTAATTTAATATATAAATCTATCCTGAATCCTTGGCAGCTTTCACTCTGCCTGTATACACTAGTGGGATTATATAGGGTGAACTGATAAGATTGGACCTTATGAAATAGAAGTGACTCAGCTGAAAGGAAAAATATGAAATGCATCCTCTCTAGCTGATGTCTTTTACTTTGTCAAACATAAAATAAGGAAAAATGAATGCTGAGTGCAGCTGTGAGTAAGCAGCAGTCAATCTGGGCCACCACCCCTGCAGACCATATTTCTGAGTTCCTGTTTTTTTGGGTGATGACTAGAATGCTGCGTTCAGATAGCCAGGCAGTGTCCAGGACTGCTCCTTTTGTCCGTGTGAAACTAGCGAGCTTCCTGCTGTGGCTGGCTTGTTGCCAAGTCCCCAAACCCCAACCTAATTGCTCCCCCCAAACCAAACTCCAACTCCAACTCCAAACTCCTCCCATCCTGAAAAGAGCTGAAGCCATACAACGGAAATTTCCAGGGCCTGTCTGCCCAAGAGCATGCCCCCACCCATCCAT